TGGGAAATCTGGGGTGGAAAGGAGAAGTATGCTGTCACAGTATAGGGGAAGCAACTAGGGTCACATAACAATGTGTGTATAAATTTTTGTATGAGAAACTAACTTGAATTGTAAACTTTTACTTAAAGCACAATAAAAAAAAAAACTTAACAAAAACTTAAAAACACAAAATATCAATGGGGAGAATATCTTTGGAAACCATGCAACCAACAAGAATTTAATAGCCAAAATATATATATAACTTCAACAACTTAACAACAAAAATATGAATAAGCCATTCACAAAATGGACAAAGGGTTTGAATAGACATTTCACCAAAGAGAACATCCATATATCCACCAGACAAATGAAAAGATGCTCAGCAGCATTAGCCATCAGAGAGATGCCAGTAAAAACCATGAGATATTATTTCACTTCAACTAGAATGGCTAAGGTTAATAAAAAAAAAAATCCAGAAAATAACAAATGTTGGCGAGAATGTGGGGAATTTGGAACCCTTATCCACTGCTGGTGGGAACACAAAATGGTACAGTCATTGTGGAAAACAGTGTGGTGGTTCCTCAAAAAACTAAAAATAGAACTAGCATATGACCCAGCACTTCCACTCCTAGGTATATACCCAAAAGATCTGAAAGCAAAGATCAAAAAGAGACTTGTAGAGCAATGTTCATTGCAGCACTATTCACAATAACCAAAAGGTGAAAACAACCTATATGCCCATCAACAGATGAACGGATAAACAAAACATGGCATATACATACAATGGAATACTACTCAGCCAGTAGGAGAAATGAAGTCTTGATACATACTACAGTATGGATGGAGCTTGAAGACTTTATGCTGAATGAAATAAGTCAATCACAAAAGGACAACTATCGTAGGATCTCATTTATATAAAAAGACAAGAAAAGGCAAATGTATAGAGGCCAAGGTTTATTGGTGGTTACCAGGAAAGAGTGGGGGGAGAGGGGGAAGTGGGCTAATGGTGATGGAAAAATTACATTTATTGGGTTGTACAGTCAATTTTTATAACTGCTGTCAATGAGTTGTATACCTATAAAAAGTTGAATTGGTCAAAGTTATGTCATAGACATATTTACAATAAAAACAACAAAAAGAGTAGCTGCTAAAGCTTATGTATGACCAAACACTTCATGGGATTTGGTTCCTTGGGTTAGAGTTTCACAGTCATGGGTTCATGTGGCATCCCAGTTAAGTGGCCTAATAATGTGTTTAGTGCTACTGCTGTAACTCCTAGTTCATTGCACAGTGCCTGGGGCCTTAAAAGCTTGCAAGCAGCCATGTAAGACACAACAATTGATATCTATTCACTTGGAGCAACAGAAGAAGAAGGAGAGTCAGGAATAGAAGGAAGATATGGAACGCTGGGCTAATTGCCTCCGTGAACATCTACCTTCTTTGCCACGAGACCAGAAGTACTGGATGGTGTCTGGCTACCATTACTGAATATTTTAAATAAAGACTCTATAGGAGACTGATCAAAACAGGGAAAATACAGAATATAATTTCAAATTCTTATGGACTCTAGACTTTCTGGAGCCACGAAGGGTAGATAAGTTCCTGAAACTATTGCCCTGAGATAATCTTGAAACCTTAAACCAAAAATATCCCCTGAAGTTGTCTTAAAACCAAACAATATTTTAGCTTAACTGGTAAAAAAAAAAGTCTGTTTTGAGCACTGTGCTCTTAAGAACTATTTATATGGGATCAAATTGACAACAGCCACTTGAAAGTTTAGATAGGAACTTAGGGGAAGTGTGTTTATGTTAATGAGGGAGGAAAAACTCAGAAAAGGAGGGTGAGAATGATTGCACAACTCGAAGAATGTAACCAATGTCACTAAATTGTACATGTAGGTTTTTTGTTGAATTGGTACAGGTTTTGCTGTGTATATTCTCAACAACAAAATAAATAAAATTTAGAAAAAACTAAACTGAGGAAAATGTTTATTTTAAATTACAATTCCTATATCAGCTGCAATTTGAATATTGTAGGGCTTAAAATCCACATGGGCACAGCACATCAAAGCCACAAAAACAGGGGCAATTTAGTTGTTCCCAGGTCTTCAAACTGTCTGGATTTAACATTTCTTTAATATCAAATAACCTAATCCTTCATCCTACCCAGAAAAGTTCTGTGATCTCCATAGTATTTCCAGGAGTTTCCAGAAGGGAGAGGGTAGGAACTTTCATTTTCTCAGCATTTTGCTTTCTAAATTTCTGATCCTAACTTCAGTTTCATTCACCACTCACTATTTCATCTCCTAAAGTTGCAGTATTTTCATTACCTGATTCCCCACAAATTTGGCTACATCTTTTCCTCCTTCATTCCCCAAAACACAGCTAACAGTGTATGACCATTGTGCATTATAAGCTTTATCAAAGCTTCCTGTACAGTGTAGGTTAATTGCAATACTCAATAAACGGGATACAAGAAATACAGAAAAGTGTTGTCTGAAACCTCATGGACCATTCCCCATAGTGGGACCTCCTATTTATTGGCTGTGTGTCTCTTGTTCCTGGTCTGATAACATGTTTCTGGACTTCTTTCTCTCCCATTCCTGTATTCTCTGAAATAAAAACACTTGCAAATATTTCAAATTCACTTTAATTTTCAGAAAAAAATCAGTGTCTACTTGGGTCATTCATCTCTCAACTATATTTGTCCAATAGACATCCTCTTTCCAACATAAAAGACCATCAAAGTGTTTCCCTGAACAAACAAAAAAGCACTACCCACCCTGAGAGAAAGTTATGTATCCTCCTTGAACAAAGCGCAGTCAACTTTCAAAACAGAAATATTTTCTCATATTTCATTGGAAATTAAAAGAAAAAAAAGTAGAAACAAAGTGTATTAGAAAATAGACTTGAAATCAGCAGGCTAAGACTTTACTCTTGGCTTTTTCATTAAGAAGCTTTGTGACTTTAAGTAAATCATTAACCCCACGGAGCTTAAACTTCCTGTCCACAAAATAATTACAGATCTATCAGCAATTATGTGTTAGTGGGGTGTAAGAAGGTAAATAAGTAACTCTTTGTCAAAAGAAGGTTAGTGCATACTTTTTACACCGACAAAGTGAGTTATACTTGATAATGTTGATGGAACATTTCATCTCTGTAAAATGGTGACATATGAAAGACACATGTTTCTGCCCAGCGGAGAATGGAGAATCAGGAGTAGAAAGATTCTCTGACTCATGCATCTAACGGAAAATGACGAGTACCTAAAAGAAGACCCCTACCACAGTGGTATATTGTCACACTAAAATTGTTTTATTGGATCACTCACAGAACCATTAATATTTTTCCAAGACAGAAAAAAAAAGTTCAAATTTACAGTGAAAAATAGTCATAATAAATTCCTTCCTTAATGCTATTCTTAAACAAGAGGAAAAACGAAAATTAGAAGAAATTATGCAAATGTTGAGTAAGAGAAGGGAAACTTAAAAAAAAAGTGGAAATAAATTATTGAAAAAAGATAAACATACCTCACCAAGGTAAGAAAGAAATAGGATAGGAAGAATGCCACCAAAAATACTGAAATTAAACATGCAGAACCTTCCTGTCCTCTATCTGCACAGAGAGATACTGTTTTTGATCAAAACCTTTTAATCCTCAGAGTTTTCCTCAGGGCAAGTTTAACATCTTTGTTTCTCAAGCTGTAGATTAAGGGGTTCATCATAGGAACCACACTGGTGTAAAACACAGAAGAGATTTTTCCCTCACTCATAGACCTTGCAGAAGATGGTCTGAGATACGTGAATGCACCTGATCCAAAGAACAGAGAAACAGTAATTATGTGGGAACTGCAGGTACTGAAGGCTTTGGACCTGCCCTCAGTGGAATTGATGCGGAGGATGCTGGAGAGAATGAAACCATAAGAGAGAAAGATGATGAGACTGGGCAAAATAATGTGGATGCCCCCCACAATAAAAAGCACCAGCTCATTGACATAGGTGCTGGTGCAGGAGAGCTGCAGCAGAGGGAGAATGTCGCAAAAGTAATGGTTGACGGTGTTGGCATCACAGAAGGTCAGTCTGAGCATGCATCCAGTGTGAGCCATAGCACCAGAAAAGGCCATCAAATATGAACCAAAAAGAAGGTTGAAACATACTTCAGGGGACATGGCAATATTATACAAAAGTGGATTACAGATGGCCACGTAGCGATCATAGGCCATTGATGTCAACACACAGCATTCAGAAGTGCCAAAAAAAAGGAAAAAGTAGAGCTGGGTCATGCACCAAGTGTAAGAGATAATATTCTTTTCAGATATGAAGTTCATTAGCATTTTCAGTGTAAACGCAGAAGAATAACAGAGGTCTATGAAGGACAAGTTAAAGAGGAAAAAGTACATGGGGGTGTGAAGGTGAGAAGTCAGCGCAATCAGTGTTATCAAGCCCAAGTTTCCCAACACAGTGACCATATACATTACTAGAAACAGGAAGAATAAAGGGAGTTGGAGAGCTGGTTGGTCTGTTAATCCCATCAGAATGAATTCAGGCACAAGAGAAGCATTTCCTGTAGGCATTCTTCTGTAGGGTTGAGTCTGGGGGAACAAGAGAAAGGGGCTACGCTAGATGGCAGTCCAGGTCTTCCTACAATATCTCCTCCCACAAGAGTGGGTTATATGCTGAGAATGCCTGAGACTAACCCAACCTGGGCCCATATAATCGGCCTTTTCCGCTACCAAGACACGGAGTGCCACTGACCTCCCTTTATTAGTCTTTAGAAGCTAAAAATGGCAAAGACTACCTCCAAGTTTGTCTATGCACAGAATGTCAGTGTTGCCTTACGTAGCATGACACCTGGAAAAATCAAGAAATAAAGGAGAAGGAAGATGGCCGGGACAGAATTGCCTCTCTCTCATCCCACTGTTTCTTCACTCACCTGAGCTCTTCCCTCATTAGTATAACTGGAGACAGAGCCCCTAGAATCATGGTACTGGTTTCTGATGCAGATTAGATCATCAAGGGTGGGAGCCATGAACATTACTTCTAATTCAAAACTATGGAACCAGAGTCTAGGAGAGTTTCTGTAACTGCCCCATGTCACAGAATAAAAGTCATAAATCTAGAGAAATGACAGCTCCTTTCTGGGAGAGGAAACTGGCTGAGAGACTGGATCCACTGCAGACCTAATGTCTGAACATTCCCTGCTCCCCCGTCAGTCAGATTCTTCCAACTACTGTTAGACTGCACAAAATGGGAAAGAAAGGGCATATAGTAGATCCCAGGATTTTCTTTCAAAACAAGGACGATGTTAATATGGAAGGAATTCAGGCACTCACCTCCTTAGACCAGAAAACCTGTGTGCTTCTTTATAGATTTTGTTTTTTTAATCCCGTGTCCTGGAAAGGAAATTTCAAGCTCTGAGGCTTTGCTTCCTTTGATTCTAACAGGATGTGCCCAGGATTAATTTCTGAAATGCAATGAAAATCTTTTTGAGCAACAGATGACATTTTCTAATCTTAGTATTGACAATTCTCAAGCAACAGGGGAAAAAACATTATTATTATCACCATTTCCACTTGATGAAACACAGAAGATTTAATGTGAGTTTACTGATGTAATGCACTTGATTATAAACAGGTTAGAACTGGCTCAGGTTCTTCCCCAGGGAAGAGATTCTCCATGTAAAAGGGAAGTAAGGGGATTGTATTTACACCCTGGACATGAATCGTCTTTAGTTCCTCAGGGATCAGGGTTTACTCAAGTTTTCAACTCACTCAAGGGATTACACATCCCCCAATGCAGAGACTAAAAGAAACTCCTGTATCCTATCATCTTCATATCTAAAGGGAAATCTATTGGATTATTTTCTTTCCTCTTCTTCCCAAATCCTAAAGGAAGATTTTGCTACAAGGTTTCTTCCTCCAGGCTTCTTTATTTCATAATATTAAATGTACAGGATTGCGGTACCTGACTTCAGTTGTTGTCTCTCCTGGGATGTCCCCAAGTCAGTTTTTAGTTTGTTGCCTCCTTTGTAAAGTCTTTACTTTAAACACTTAATGGAGACTTCTACCTGGAAGTCCTGCTGGGTCCTTAAACATTTCAGTGACTGAGTTCATCAACCTCTTCTCATCATCATACTTAAGAGTGTGGGCGATGGAGTGAGAGAGCACATGTATGAAGACCATCTCCACATGTACTAATTATAACACCTTGGGCAGGTGACTTAAACTCTCTGTGCCTCAGGTTCATCACTGAAAACAGGGTTGATAAATAATAGTGTCTCTCTCATTGGGTTGTGTGACAATTAAGTGAGCTAATATAAGCAAAATGCGTAGAACAGTGCCTGGCTCATGCTAAATAGTCAATAAATGTCATTCCTTATGTTCTCATAGCCCTGGTAGAGCCTCCGTCATAACACTCATCGGACATATTTCTCCTTTTCTGTTTATTTCTGTGTTCGTCTATAAACTATAAGGTCTGTAGGGACCAAGACCACTTCTGTCTTGTTCACTACTTTGTTTTGGGGGCTAAGAATGGTGCCGATTATATAGTAGGCACTCAGTAAATATTAGCAGAAATTAAGTTGTTTTCTGGATGAAACCTTCAAAATATTTTCCATATTTCTCCTCTGCCAAGTAACAGAGTCTACCACCACAATGAACTCCATCTCTCAGTCACTACCCATGTTCAGGCACATTTTTCAGTTTAAAGTGAAGCATACTACTGAATTGTGTGGTCCTTTACTGTTTTTCTCGCATATCCCCACATATCTCTCTAATTTAGCCATCTGCACAGCTGCCAGAATAATCTCTGAAAGTACAACTGTCTCCCCCTAGCTCAGGAACTTCCCAAGGTTCTCCATTATCTCTGGGAATTTGAATCTATGTAGTAAATATATATCTTCCCAAAACTATGATTCAGCCTTGGCAAAAATTAAAAGTGAAATCAAGTCTAAATATATTCGATGAGAAGCCAGGAAAGAAATATTCTGATTGATTTAGGTATTTTTAACATATTAAGTATTGTGGAAACTCTTACTCTGCTCAGAAAATGTAAGAAAGGGAGTGTTATGGAATGTTTACATTTCAAGAACCAAAAGTGTATAAAGAACAAAGAGCCCTACCCACGTAAACCAATGCTATACATAAAATTTGAATTTAAATTTGCACAAACTTTCTTTAACTAATTATTAATAGTAAATTATAGTTCCAAACTTCAATGTTTTCTGAAAAGGTCCAAGTATCTCCCTACGATATTATCGGTTAAAATAACATATTTTTCATTTAATATTGCAGGAATGTAACCTAAACCCAAGTTATCAGTTAGTAAGATTCTAGCTTCAAGTTACAGACTGCTTAAAACAAGGACTTATTTTTCTCACATAACAATAAATCTGGAGGTAGTGTTCGAGGGCTGGTTCAACAACTCAGCCTTGTCCATTCTCATCTAGGACTGGGTCGCTTTCACCCCATTGTGCTTATCCTGATTATAGTTTTCAGGCTTGTCACCTCATTGTCACCAAATAGCTACCATAGCTCCAAGAATCACATTTTCACACAACTAGATGAACATAAGAAATGAAGAGGACAAGGCAGGAGAACTCTCACATAGCTCTCTTTTACATTACAATAAATCTCCAGAAGCCAATAGATGACTTCCTTCCTTTAAGTCTCTTCAGTCAGAACTATACCACATGGCAAACCTAAACCTCAGCAAAAACTGGCCAAACTAGAAACTCCCTTTTTTATTTCTCCATCATGAGAATTTTCTAGCATTTGAGAGAAGGGAGGAAGGAATGTATATTGAGTAGGTCACCATCAGGGTCTGCCATAATCAAGAAGCTTGTGAAAAATTATTCGTATGGCGTAATATAGTTCATACAGTTATGTTCTACATCTTAGTTGGTGAGTAGCGTCTGGGGTCTTAAAAGCTTGCAAGCATCCATCTAAGATGCAACTATTGGTTTCTACTTGTCAGGAGGAAAAAACAAAATGAAAACCAAAGACTCAAAGAAGAAACTAGTCTACAGAACCAATAGTCTACACGAACCATGGCCTCATCTACCCTGAAGAACTAGATGATGACTGGCTACCACTACCGACTGTTCTAATCAGGGTCACAATAGATGGACCCTGATACAATGGGAGAACAATGTGGAACAGAAGTTTAAATTCCTAAAACAAAAAAAAGAGACCTATTGGACCAGTTGAGATTCCATGACTCCCTGAGACTATTCCCCTAAGATACTCTTGTAACCTTGAACCAAAATTAACTCCTGAGGTCACTTTTACCTAAATAACGAAGTGGTTCAAAAAATAATGAATATTCCCTGTAAGGACCGTCCTCCTTTAAAAAAGAAAAAATCACCTTTATGAAACCAAACGGTAAACAATTACTTTAAAAGATGAGAATGTAAGGGGGGAGGGAAACTGGCTTAATGGAAATGGAACAACCAGAACATAAATAATGACAATGTTCACACATTGTGAACGATACAACCAATGTCACTGAACAATTTGTGTAGAAATTATTGAATGGGAACCTAAACTGCTATGCAAACGTTTACTGAAAACACAATAAAGTATTATTTATTTTTTTATTTTTTCTTTTATTGTACTTCAGGTGAAGGCTTACAGAACAAATAGTTTTTCATGAAACAGTAGTACACATGTTGTTTTATGACATTGGTTAACA